GTGATCTAAAGAGCAGTTTGTATAAGCGTGAAACCGAGACCGCACATATCAAAAAGACCAATTATCAGAGGAAAACGTAGGTGCACTGACATGTTGCTGCATTTAAAAAATTAGCAATGCAAAACCCAATGGGAAGACGAAGATTTGCAGATCCATGCATTTCGTATTGCCTCCTCATTGCCGAAAACAATACCTGGAAGTACAATATAACTCGTGATGCAAAGGTGCAAACGAACGAAAGGAAAAAGGAGAATAATATCTCTATGTCCAACACACCATGAGACTAACCGATAATGGCTTTTGCACACAAAGCGCCGGTTTATCGCATCTGTCTCAGCGAAACGAAGGATACAGAATTGCTATGCCGCAGCAGAACTTTGAACGCTGTGCTGACCTCGATCCGGTGGTCTGAGATTAATAAATTCCTGCGATCGAAGATGTCAGCGGCATGGGTGAATGCATACCTTGAGCTGGGGCAGCCTGTTTAGTTGGCCCGTGTTGAGGCCACTGCGGAACTTGCTTCTTTACCCAGGTACTCGCAGTAAAATCTTTTTCGTAACACATGCAGTTGCGGTGTTACTGAGCCACGGCTTTAAACTTTTGTATGTTGCGCAGTCGGTTGCACCTACTGCAAGAGCATTTCTAAATAGCGAAGGATACATGATGTTAATACAATTTCCTGCCCTTCCTCAAGCCGTTTATATTTACTTAGATCACCCAATATAACATTCAGCTTCTTGTTATATTCCTTATATTCAAAAATACCACCCAGGACCCACTAATCTGCCTCATTACTAGTACATCATTAGCACGCGGATCGAGTGGCGCCCACAAATGCCGAACCGTCAACGCACACTTTGTTGTTATCGGCATACTTTTAGTTCCGGATGTTAGCTTCGCATACCGGTTGAATTAGTAAAATAATCGTTTCTACTCTGTATGGAAAAGCTTGAATTTTACTTCCGAAACACAATCTATCGTCAGACTGAGGGGTAGCCGTAAACAACCCGCTGGTTATTATACCAGCAGATTTCTTTATGTTGTTGAAAGAACAATTATATCTGAAGAAATAGCTCACGTACCATAAAAGTTATGTGGATGACGCTCGAGCGTTTCTTCATCTGAACAGTAGTTCACACAGCTAGTGATGTTTCGAAAGTTAAGCAGCAGAACTGCCTACCTTATTTGGAGTTTCGCATCAGCCGCAGAGAAAGTAGACAAGTTAACTGGGCCTTCTACGGAAAAGCCACGTAGTCCGGCCATTACTTGCATTTTCCAGCGTTTCCACCAATACGGTACAAATGGATGATGGTGAAGAACATACTTAGTTGAGCTAGAAGCATAAGATCGACCGATTGTCTAAGCAAAAACTAGAACTGTTCATTACTACGTTAAGTGCAAATAGATACTCGCGTAGGTTCATCGAAAATCAAAGTCAAAGCAACCAAACTAGAGAGTCAGCGAAGACCGTGCGTAAAAGGAAAGTATAGTTGTGGCACATGTTTAAAGAGGACAGTACCACGAGGTGGACTACCAGACGAGTAATCACGGTCAAACCGAGCACCATCGGAGCTGCTAAAGTAAACCCTGGAGCAAACATACAAAATGCTGCTGCTTCCATGAAGGTAAATCAGCCTATCCAGGCAAACTCTCACTGTGTGTACCAATTGGTATATAACTGCGGAGCTAATTACATAGACAGAAGCGATGGTAATACGAGTATCCGGATGAAGAAGCTAGTTCCGAAAGTTTAAAGCCGTGGCTCAGTAACACCGCAACTGCATGTATTACAAAAAAGATTTTACTGCGAGTACCTGGGTAAAGAAGCAAGTCCCGCAGTGGCCTCAACACGGGCCAACTAAACAGGCTGCCCCAGCTCAAGGTATGCATTCACCAAATGCCGCTGACACCTTCGATCGCAGGAATTTATTGATCTCAGACCACCGGATCGAGGTCAGCACAGCGTTCAAAGTTCTGCTGCGGCATAGCAATTCTGTATCCTTCGCTTCGCTGAGACAGATGCGATAAACCGGCGCTTTGTGTGCAAAAGCCATTATCGGTTAGTCTCATGGTGTGTTGGACATAGAGATATTATTCTCCTTTTTCCTTTCGTTCGTTTGCACCTTTGCATCACGAGTTATATTGTACTTCCAGGTATTGTTTTCTGCAATGAGGAGGCAATACGAAATGCATGGATCTGCAAATCTTCGTCTTTCCATTGGGTTCTTCAAAGGCGTATTAGTAACTAACTGCTTTTAATTCTCAGGGGTGTTAGGCGCTCATGTTGCCACCGTTTTCCTTTCTTTTATGTAAAGGGGAAGTAGTTGCAATCGGTCGTATGATATTGGTAGTATACAAAGGCTAATGGTATCGGAAAGCGACTTTGCTTACCTTTGTATATTTCATTTTCATATGATAGCTAAATGCCGGGTTGTACCATTCGAAATATTTTTGGCTAGATTTGAATAGACTAAGCGCAAATTAAGAGAGTGTACAATAAAGACCGGGTCATAAGATTTAAACACTTGCGTAAGGCTTTTAATGTAGATATATTACGCCTCTTCAAATTAGGTAACACATGAGCGAGAAATTGAGCAAGGAAGCATTTCGAGATGATATTTTTCCTTCTAGGTCCTTGATACTCTTTTCTCTACAGACGCACATTGAGTCGTTGGCCCTTTGGAAGACATTGGATCAGGTCAGTTTAATTGGGGGCAGCATCACCTCTGCCAAATATATCAGTGCCCACCCGCAGCCAAGAGAAGAACGGGAGAAGGATGTTTGTGGCGGAATATGATGCCAGGCAGAGATGGATGTGTGACACAGTTTCAACCTGTAATGCAGTTAGATTTTCGCATGTATGCAGCAAATTCTTCGAACCGGTTTTGAGGCAAATAATGAGTCAGTTTACATGCCAAACTATATTGCTTCGTTTAGGTGAGTACTAATGCTTAAATGTGCTACATTAATCCATACCATCTCTAAAGCAGTTATCCCCAAGAGCATCCCGATTATAACACAAACTCAACTTCCATTTAGTAATCCGGACCAAACCACTAGTTGACCGCAATTTATTAGTGCATCTTACGGTCTATTTTAAATAACGATGGAGAATGAATGCATCCATACCCTTAATCGTAACACTGGATTAAATGCATCAACTTCGGTAATGATGTTCTGGCAAATAGAGGAAGGTTGTGACCAACTACAAATTAAGTTAAACAAAACTCAGTTGTTAATTTCTAGCCACCATAAAAGAAATTTTGATACTTTCAGCACAATAATGAGAACATTATGCTTGCGTCGCATGCAAACGGCAGGTCAACCCTTAATGTACGCAGCATAATGAATACCACCCATACACGCAGGCTCGTACGCATGCACGCACTCAAATACACATATCTCGTCGTTCGCTACTGAAGGGAAGTTGGACCATTACTGTCAGTTGTTGATTACAAGATGTTCCGTTCACACCTGTTTTTCTTAAGCTGTTTCGTGCCCCATAGTGTATGCACTCTCAAACGTATACTTACCGTGACTACAACTTATCATTTAGCGGGATGTATCATGCACTCTACAACCAAGGGAATGAAACTATTAACGATCGCAGCGAAGGTAAGGAACATTGCACAGGGCACAGCTGGCCCACAGCTGGCACGACTTTCCGCAAAAGCAGCAATGTGGGACATAGAAATTAGAACCCGTAAAAAGAAAAGATTTCCTTACTAATGATTACGGGAGTCTTATGTATTTGTATGCCTGCTACTGATGGGTCACAATAGGGCCAACTGGCCACCCTATGCTTTTGTTATGCGTGATATGCCATCTGACTTGAAAGCTACGGCGATTAACCCTTAACACAATAATAAAAATGACCCCACCAAGTAGAGACAAAAGCAACTAAATTACTATAGGGTATGTACCATAGTCATATGAAAATTAAGCGCGAGTAAAAGGCTCGCTAAGTGATTCCAATAATGTAACTGCCGTCATAGCAAAGTTTAAATATCTATACAGAAATAACCATCACACTGACAATCAAAAGAATTTGGAAAGTAAGTTAGGTCTTGTGGATCGTGGTGGCGAGAATTCATTCCAATTCCATAAATTATTTTCCCTTCCGTCCCCGATAATATGATTTATGGATATGAGCTTTGCATGACCAAAGCTAAGCTGCTGTTGTCTCACGTGCTGCAACTTTGCGAAGCAATTGGAATGAAGGCTGAATCTACAGCAACATATTGTGAGTACGGAAGTGTGACACTCACAGATAATTTCCACTAAGCTTCAACCCACTCAAACGGTCATAGTTTGATCAGCACATTTTGCTATGTGAATGCATAAAGATGAGAAAGCATGAAATGGAACAAGGTATTGTACTCGTGTCAAGTCAAAAAGACCCTACCTATTTGGCCCTTGGATCTGCAGGAAGAATGACGAAGAAAGAAAGTTACAGCATGTACTCGATGTGTTAATAAAGCCGATATTCAAAACCAACCAATTTACCTGGTGTTTCTTTATGGAAATTCCTGTTGTGAGTACCACATATATACCTATCTGACAGTTGCGATGGCGTATATAGCGATGTTTTTTTGAGCCGTTCATATGATAAGAAACTTTAGAAGGCTACATTTTCCTTTTTATGCTAACAAAGCCTAAGATATTTAGTTGAGTATTTGTTACTATACGCAGCATTTTTCATTTCCTTCTTCTTTATGGATTGATGTAGGGTGTGTAAGGCTTGACTTTCCTCTACAAACTGTCCGGCGCACTATGTTCCACAGTTGTCTACTAAGAAACCTTTTGATGTCAGTGTTGAATTAGGAATGTGAAGATGACTTTCGAAATGTGTATTATGTACCTTGGTGTGGAAGAAACCGGAGCGTGTCGCATATCGGACAGAAAAAAGTTAAGATCGAACACTTATGACTCTTTGTTATTTGATTGTAGCTGATGTGTACTCAGGTTCCAGTCAATTCAACCACTGCATCACGGTCGATCGGGGATATAACAAGGTTGCTCAAGCAGAAAAACGCATTCATGTTTTATGGAGGCCTCGGTCGTTGCAAAACTTTCAATGTATCATTGTGATGGCGCGAAGGAACTAAAACATTCTCTAATACAAAATACCGTTACCGTGTGGGACATATCAGAAGCTGAGAAGCAGCTTATTCAACTGGAAGGAATTGTGACATTACGGGCTGAGCCGAGAGTCGCTGTCAGAAAATTAAAGTCCAAAGTACTTCTGTGCGATGAGTTCTCAGCTAGCTTCAAAGCACCGCTGTTTTCGATCAAGGTTCTCTTCCAACATCAGAAGATGTGTTTGGCAATCTCGACGTGCCCGCAATATATCTCCAGGAGGATATAAATAAACACATGTGAGAACCATTGTTTCTGTTTGCAGTCCGTGTCGCAGCGATATTTTATGTTTGCTGGCGGCTTACTTTTTGATATCGATTACACTTCCTATAAATTCTTAGCTATGAAACTCGCATCCATAACTCAATTTCCAAATCATCTTGTTATTATAATCAGGAGTATCCACTCTGTTAACGCCTGTTTTCTTGTCCGGCTAAAGAACCAACATGTCTGGATGTACCGTTTAATGGTTTGCATAAGGTTTCACTCATCTATGCTGAAAGTGTGGCAAAACTGTGCCTCTAGAAAACTATGCAACGTCAAAAAGCCTACTTTTGACACCGCTGTGGCTTTTTTATTTCGTTGAACTTACTTTGATAGCTGCTTAAGCGGACATTCAAACGCTGCCTTAACATGGGCTTAGTTACTGTTCCCAGAGGTATTTTGAATTTTAGACCAGTGATAGAGCTTTCATTTGCTTTCTGTCCATAGGAAAGTAAGACAAGCTATTTACAAGCGTCTATAAATCTTCATGAATGACTCACTTCACCGGCGTTTTCAAGAAATCCCCGTTGTGTCTTCATCAGTTACTTCTTCGTTTTAACAGTTTTGTAAAGTTTGCCTAAGTGATGCGGCAGACTAAGGGGCGTTAATTGGCAGTTGACACATAGCGTTCCTTGATATCTATCTCTTAGCTGCGTGCAGATAGGAACCAGGGAGTTGTTTTCCACTCGTAGCAGTATACCTCGCAATTTTCCGGCGCAATTACACAATATTTACAGAGAGAAAAGGTTATGCTACACACATTACGGACGGTGCTCAATTGTTACTTGACAATATAACATACAATCGTAAAAACTGCAATTGGGATTTCTATGGTGTTGCTCGGGTATTTGTGTCCGGGGCACTACCTTCCTCGGATCAATCTGAACAATAAAATGAGAAGAAGTTTATGGCAATATAATGTTAGTTCTTGCTAGCCGGAAGCATACAAACGCGCAACCTGCTTAGCATTCACTGCAAAACAAGCAATGAATCACGGGAGGTACCTATCTTAGCAATTCGAAAATTGCCATTTGTTAACATGAATCAAAGTTAGAAGCAAGCGACAAACACAGAAATCATTTCAGTAAGTATTATTAGGATCAAACTTTTACATCCAACATGTGTCAGGCTGAATATTGATCAGGGATAATTCAGCGGCGGAAATTATGAATCAGGCCGTCACTGAAGCAGTAGATTTTTACGATGCAATGGAACCTGGGCTGCTCACTTGCAAAACTAGTCAAGGTTAACTGGAGTACAAATCAAACCTATTGATCCCGCATTGCAAAATATGTGCCACGGCAGAAGTGAGGAGCGAAACTGGCTTTTGCACGCAGTGTCCCGGATTTGGATAACAGTAAATTTATCATAATCACGTACCCTACTCGTTTACTTAATCCACTACGTACAGTCGCCCAATAATTTGGAGATTAGGCCGTCGAAGGACACATCCTAATAAATGATTGATGTCATTTGTAGCACTCGTTGTGGGATTGGTCTGCCGCGCGCAATCTCAGCGTGTGTAACAATTCGCTTGAAAGTGAACCTTGCTGAATTATAGAACTGGGACCGAAACTGATGGAACAGAGGTATACTGGCTTTTCCCTGCTAGGAAACACTGGATCCTTTATTTAAAAATACGCATTAGATGTTACAACTCTTTTAATTGTCCTCTTGACACCAGCAAATTGTGCAAACCTTACTTTTATTAAAATATATAAGCAGTAAGCCGTGAATATTCGTTAAAATAATCAGTGGTGCCCTAATCCAATTCTGCTTCAGCGTTCTAGTTTACAGCTTCTAGTTCGGACTCAGTTGCAAGATAACAAATCCGTGTTACTAGCTCAAGTTCATTACCTTGAAGTCATTATTGTCTCTTCAGGGACTCTGTCTAATGTAACTTTTTGTTTATAATTCGATGTTTATGTGACGTATGGAGTTTTCTGCTAGATATTGCGGCACTTAGTTTTATACTTACCACCTTAGAAATCCAAAATGTTGGATTTTTTAAACAACGCAAAATAGTTGGTCCAGACGAGGTTTTTCGGTTACTAGTCCTAGGTCGAATTGCCCCTTTAATGCGGTCCAACCGCTTTCTTCAATAATTTCTGTAGCATTGTATGGCCAGAGCGATATATATAATCCTTCATCAATATCACGAAACATGTCGCCGGAACTACTGAAAATATGTTAAACATCATACATCTTAATAATGTTTTCAAATAACTCACTGAGATCATATTGTACTACCCCACTGGTACTCGCTTTGTCAAGTCCAGGAAAATCAGGCCAGTCTATATTATGCAACGTTCCGTGCTATTCACGTGCGCTTAGATAAGCGTGAAGTTAAACAACGGTTTGAACATAATTAATCGACATTAATGATTCTCATAGAAAAGGATATTGGTTTTACTGGTGTTCAATAGCACTTATGTTCAAAGCTCATGCCAAGTATACTTCGTTTTACGCCGAAATTTGGCCATAAAATTTCCCCGATTATATAAAACGCTATGAAATTGGTCTACTAAGTTCAGTTTAAATAATACGGAGCGCATCTGGATAGCCCATTATATGCTTCTCCTATACCAAATTCAAGGAAGGAACTGGAACTGCCCGCATTGTCAACCGCTTCCGGAGTTAATGCTAATTCTATTTATTGACCAATATATCGTAGTATATAGATGACAATACTATGCTTGAGTCGGACCCAATCAATGCGTAAGCAATACTGGATAGATTGACAAATAGTACCTCGATTTCTGCATCAAGTTCACACTTACCAAATGAGAAGCACTGATCCGAACCGCGCCTATGAATCAACAAGTTCCTCTAACGCGGAGCAGCCATCAGAAAGAATATGGTCATAAAATTATCAGTGCTGGTGGCGGAAATCAGGTAGTCCGTTGTAATTAACTTGGTTTACCCTGCGTCTTTTTAACTTCTTTAGCACATATAGAGACAGAATGTTCGTTTAGCAATGTAGGGCTGCGTAAAACGCCTAAACATAGTGCTTCATAGTGAAACCGGAAGATTGTGAAAGGACTTTTAAGACAAGTGACAGATAGAATTTTATAACGGTTACTTTGTGATAACAGCAGGTGGAGATATTACAGTTCTTTTGCTGCTGTTTGAAGATATATGGTTTCAAGTAAAAATACTTGTTAGGTTAGAATTGGTTGAGTTGGCTAGGTGTTCTCTATCGAACTCCAGCTAAAAAATCAATTATGCGCTTGGTGTTTGTTGTCACAGTTTCATCAAATAAAATAGTCGATGACCTGACAAAGGAATAAAGGAATTGACTGAACGCATAAGCATGCGTATGCACGTCAGGTTCATTTGAATTGGGTAACCTTCCAATGCAGGCGTTCAAGACGTCCGGAAATGCATAGCGCTGGAGTTGTGGCACCTATGTTCCTTTGCATAATGAAATCGATTAAAGTAAACAACAACAATTTTGATGCATAGAAACTGACAGTGCTTCTCGTGTCATTTTATCGTGCTGAATTCAAACCTGACCTAAGCTTTTGTGTAAGTTGTAACTTTTGGCAAAGCAACCAAGAATTTCACTTTTCACACCTTTTGGCTACTTTTCGCTTCATTGTGTTGCGCAAAAGTTTACGGCTGCAAAGAAAGTAATATTGGCTCACAAATAATTTGAGTGTGCTGAATTCAAATCTGACGTACAGGTTTCGCTAACTTACTGATTTCAGGAAAAATAAATTTTGCGAATTTTCAACGGACGAATGTGCTCACAACATTGGTCTATGACCCGACATAACTTACGTATATAAATTGATGCAAACATACATCCTGATGGTAACATCTTGATTAAGCATGTCATAAACGCAAAAGAATATGCATAACAGACAATAATGGTGCAAAGATTTGCGTTTATAGCTTTTGCATCGAAATGTTTTTAGGGCAGTCACGTTTGGTGCTCCAACAATAGTCCGCCATCATGTGTTGCCCCATCATACCTGGTAAGGTTCTTTCATCGTCCTCAGATCTATGGTTGAAAACGATCCCTTGTGCGTCCCTTACTGCCCCAAGGTTTCCGGTGAATTGATCAAGATGACTGCTCGAAAAATACAGCTTGATTCTTATGTTACACCCATGATCGCGAAACGCCAACAACCTTCTCTTAACCAGTTCGTATAATTCGCTGCATTTTTCTTCCCAAGCAACTTTGGTCAAATCGCCTCAAATGACTGCCATGCAATTGTCTACTTGGCATTCATCTTTAAGACAAATTCTTCATCACGCACAGGAGCTGGAATATGAGGGCCGTTGAATACACCAGCTTTAATCTTCGACAGTGACACAGACGGAAAAGCAGAAACCATGTAAGGAAAACAGTAGCTATCAGTATTCAAAGCCTATACAAACAGTTTTATAAAGTCGATTTTCAAATGCAGTGGTGGAAATATGCTCGTTGTTGAAACTTGGATCATTCCCAAAGTTGGCATGCCAATTTTTGTCTTGGTCCTTAAGGGGTATTTCAACGTTTACTTTATAGACACGTCAAAAACAAAGTGATGTTTATCCTTTGACGAAGAAATATATAACATCTACGTTTTTAGCAAAATGTAACAGGTTTGTTTGCACATTTATGTCGACCTGAATTATTTATGGGCATATTTGAAATGAACATAGATAAGTAAATAATTTTACATTTATGTAACATATGGAATTGCATGAAAAGTAAGGTAAGCAGAAAATACGGTTTTCATATTTGAAATCAACATTAAAAGTTCATGTAGAAGTACTTTAAATATTTCTTGCGTCTGGAAGTTGATAAAATTTTGTTGCCCTGTTTTATCAGACTCTCCTTGTATGATAGCTTTTCTATCACGCTACGGTTTACGCTACACTACATCTCTTATCTTTAGCGCGACACGATAAGTTAGCATTGCCACACAGATATGCCTAAAATGGATACTCGGATTACGGTTTGTATAATATGATGCAAGCTGATCGATATTTAAGAGATCAAGTGCACCAGCTGACATCAAAACTGCCAGTTCTGAGACCTATTTACAACAAAGTAAAATCGAATCCAGACACTTTTTCATGATTAATAGTCATATTG